TGGTGGGCTTTTGTCATCATATTAAATATCTACTGAACCCGAGCACCCGTTATGGCAGTTGAACTAATCGATTGGGTATAAGTTATGGAGCAGTGCAACCGGTTTGCTCCGGTTGATGGGAAGGACGGCTTGAAATGCCTAGGCAAAATTTGAACTGGATGAAATTTTGAATAAGTCTGCGAATCAGTATAACTGGAAGGAGATTAGGGGTGAAGAAAACATTGACTCATCATAACGAAATCATCACCCTAGCAAAGATATTTTCCCTGATTAGTTTATAACAAATGATAAAAATTTTAATGTGTTCGGAGATATAATACATAGCGCGATTGGGAATGGTGTTTGGGAATAATCAATGAGAAAACTAATGTTATGATAACAACCATGTCAAGAAAGATGAAAACAAACAAGGAAAATGAAAAAAAGGCAAAATAAACAGGAACAACAATTAACAACGAACTTAGCTCACTTTCTATCACTTAAAACTACGCTGCTTAGCATCTCTGAATACATCTCATAGAAGCGAATTTTTGGAATGATTTCGTCAGTTCCTCTTAATAGTGCCCTTCTCGAATAAACTCATATTCAAATCGAAATAAATCTATCTCTCTGGTGGGATTTATTATATGATATGATAAAAATAAGTTGTTAACAATGCGAAGTTGATTACTGTATGGCGTTAGATGATGAGATAACCTTTGTGATGATTGATGGGCGTTGAATAACTGCTTTCTGATGGTGTTAGTATTGTTGACTTGATCGACGAATTGTTGTTGTCACTGTTAGATGTTGTCGTTAAATGATGAAATTAGTTGGTGAAGTTAGGTGAAGCCATCGGATTGTTAAATTTCCATTAGTCGCGGTGTTAGATCGTTCTTCTTCTCTTCCTCTCCGGGCCCTGGATCGCCGAGGTTGCTCCAGGCAGCGCGATGTATGTGCCATCGCGACCCAACTCCTGGAGACGCTCGGCGATATCTCTTCGGGCCGCCATCGCCTTCTTCGGTGCTGATACACACCTCTCGGCGCGGTGTGCATCCATTCGAATTGTTAGTTGCCTCGCCGAGAGGCCTTCGGGCACCTTGACCGTGTGCCCGCACCAAGTACAGTAAGCTGAAATTCAAGACATTATTTATTAAGTGGTAGTGTTGCCGTTGATTACATCAAAGGAAATGAATTCATTACTCTAATGACTCGAGACGATTTCGCATTCATAGGAATTCAAAGGTAGTAGTACCTGTGGGTTATCTTAACTACGGTAACTGGCTACGCCCACAGATTACGATAGTACGCCACGCCCATGTGTAGGCTATGGGTCAAACGGAGCATGAAACTGCTTCAACTTCTTATTTGATGGTTTGAGAAAATTTTGGAAGTAGGCGTGACGTACTACCGTAATTTGTGTGGCTAGTTACCGTAATCATGCCCATAAACACTACTGAATCAATGTGGTGATTATCTAAGTGTTTAATCCACTGTTCTCCATCACATTATCATTACTAATCATCAAAAATTGGAATAGTATATGAAAATAAACCCAATCTCAATAGATAAATTTAGGGGAGGCAAAAAACTTTCTGAAACGTACGGTTAGTATTGTGACATTTCGACCGCCTGACGTGTATTTTCCAGGCGGCCACGGTGGCAAATGGCGTGGCGCGCCTGGCGCAGCCCGACAGCTGGCAATCTGAAATTAATGGATAATGAGTGAAAATTCATTAATTGACTTTAAGTTGCTACTCTTACAATTAGTACATTAATGAGTGTATTCCTTCGATAAACCAAACGAATCATGAATGAGCAACTCAATATAGACTATCATACACAATTAACTAATCGCAAGTGTTTATCTTGTTGAGCTCGCGTTGTAAGCATTCAACATCACATGATCAAATTATCATTGTAATCAAATAAAGAATAAGCGAAATACTTACAAACTTTATTGTTAATTACTTTGTATGGCGGTGGAATGGTGTCGGCCAGCTCGGCTGCGTGTTGTGGTGTTAGAGATGAGGTGTTAGCGGCTTCGAATTCTGGGTTAATGCGAGGGGTTAATGGGGTTACCTCGCGGCGCGGGTTACGGCTGAAAATAAGCGAATAAATTATGCGAACTTATCTATCTCTTCCTGTAATTCTTTGGAGTCACATTTTCCAAAGTTTCCACATAATCAGTAATGAGCAGTTACTTCATTTCGTTTCAGAACTGAGTGTAAGCAAAAGCAAATGAAAACTTACAAGTTATAACGACATCGGGTAGTCGTGTTAGTGGGTGAATTTGGTGAGCTCGATGAGGATGACGATGGTGAGGATGGCGATGTCGTTGGTGAGTCGATTAGTTGTGGTGAGCCGTCGTTAAGGTTGTAGTTGTGGTTATTCGGTGTTGTTAGGACGATGTTAGGAATTGGGAAGTCTGGGCGGCTGGAGGGGCCGGGCAGATCTTCCTCTTCTTCGGTTATTGTGGGTAAGGGTGTCTGAAAACAACATGACTGAAATATTGAATTCGATCAAAGAATTTGTTTTTATCATATGCTCCTCATTTCAGAATGCATAGGCACAAAATTTCGAATTAACCTCAGTGCCTATCGCACTGATTTCTTCTCCATGCTATCTATCTACCAGTGGTCTTAAATGCTACCAGTATTACACATTATTCTTTTCAACAACATTTCATATCGCAAAGCAATAAAGTGAAATGTTTCCTGAGATGATCAAATTGTCATTTCAACAGAATGGACATTTTATCTCATCATTTGTAGCTGCTATACATGAGATTTTGTTTTATTCGATTATAAATNAATTACTCAACATTTTACAGACTATCATCATTACGTTATATGCGTTAAATTATCATGATTGAATCAAGATAAATAGCTTAAATTCACTTACGAAAGTTGTTTCCGATTGGCACCGTTTTCTGCGGTTAGTAGGGATTGGTAAGTTCTTACGGTGCACCTGAATATGGTGAGGATGATTAACGTTTGACATTTCAAAAATGAACTGTCTTAATATATTCATTCAAGTAATTCATTCATCGTTTTAAGGCCATAAATAATCTTTCAAAGCAATTTCGAGTGCACTATACCTTAGTCGTTTCTGGAGTGCTCTCGGCCGCCGCCGTCTCCGGCATATCCAGAACCGCGTATGTCCCTAAGTACTCGGCGGCCTCGAGTACTTTTTCGCCGGGTCGTCCAAAAACTTTAACGGGTGCCCCAGAAAAAAGCGGGTGCACCAGCAGTAAAACACTGCCTGCCCGGCAGAAGGCGTCTGTTAGTTTATCGGGAATTGCGCCCGTTCTTTCCATTTCGTCTGAAAAATGAACAGTTCATTAATAAATGCCCACAAAGGCAACAAAATTCAACCCAAGCTCAACAAAGTTCTGTTATTCGATCGTCATTCAACTGACTTATTTTATTTCTAAGATGATTTTCCGTACTGAATGTTTTCAGATTATGTATTTTGGTCGATTTACTCTCAGTTAAGTCAAATTTATCAGCTTTTTGCGATTTCTATATGGTACCATATTTACTGCTCATAAGCAAGTTATCATATATTGAAGTATTGGCTTGTAAACGGTGAGTGAGCGATTTCTTATGTTTCAAGAACGATGTACAATTACGTTAACATATTGTGTAATGGAAAAAAAATGTTTAGTTCAATATTCGATTGAATTGCCTCAAATGAACTTACCGATCTGTTTTTTATTTAATGGGCCCGCTCGCCTCGCCATGACGTGCCAAGTGGCCCAACAGTAATCCGCAAACCGGCACGTGGCCGGGATGATCTGCAGTACTGTAAGTACTTGCAGCATGTTTGCACAGGGGATCCCCTCTACCCCCCGTGCCCTGAGTAGACCCCCAAAAGGGGCCAATCGCGGATCCTCCTCCGCGCGCGCCCTTTTCGCCATCAATCGGCCTTCCATGTTAATTTTTTTAAATTAAAAAAAAACACACACGCACACAATAATAACAATAATCACACTCAATAAAAATAATCACACACAATCACAATAATCACACAATAACCTCACTCTCAAATTACTCACACACACAAAATAACAAACAAATATACACAAATAAAATAATAAACTCAAATATTAAACACAATCACACACACACACTCAAAACTCACAAAAAATCACCCACTCTCACACAAACTCACAAAAAACACTCAAAACGCCACCAAGTGTCGCCCGAGGTGTTGATATCGCTGCTCCGGATTAAACGGCGCCCGCGATCTGAAATTCGACAAACTCGCTAGAGATAAACTTGTGATTTTGAAATAAGTGAATGTCATGAGCAATATTTTAAATTGATAAATGAAGGGAATCATGAAGGAAATAGGAACAATGGAATCAATAGTGAAGATGAACAGAATGCGTCAAGAGATTCGGTAAGATTCAATAGGCTAAACTATTGAAATTGGAGATGGCAATCGAGCGACTTTTTGATGAGCAAGCAAATAAATCACGGAATGCATCTTGAGATATAGATTTCAGATTCTTCCACATCAAAAATCCAGATCTCACGGATATCAGGGAATTTGCAACGACATCGTACAGGTAATTTCGAAAACGATTGGTGCTGATGAACTTGAAAACGACGGATAAATCAGTTATGAACTACATGAGAACGGAGAGTTTGTCATAACATAATTCGAGATAACAATCAACCGAATTTAAATGTATGCAGTGAGCAGCGGACATAGATGAATCAAGGTAAGCAGAATCGCAGTGAGATGATAAGAAAGTTATCATGAAAGTTGCATAGGTTTAGGGTGTTAGATAGCTAAACTTCATGAGTTCAAAGGCCTGATTCCTCATGAGCGAGCGATAACTCTGGAAAAAAATCGCACAGAATTTTGATCTAAAGGATTAATGAAATTCCTCGGCCTTCAAGCAAAACATGTGGCTTCAAGTTCGCTGACATGACTGATGGAACGCTGCTCCCAAACTCATTTCATTACATCCCGTTAAAGAATCATACGGATAACACTTTGCTCATTTTTCTGTTGTTTTGAATATCTTTTTACTGATGCCTCGAAGTTTTTGTTGTGTTCGATTTCTAGCGTGCTGAATTATTGCGTTTTCAGCCAAAATAATGCATCTAGACAAGAGTTCAATCGCATCCGTCAAAGAACTATGTGAAATTCAGCATGATGCCGTGACCAGAGCAAAAGCCAGATAACAAGGTGGATAAAAGGAATCAATTGGAATATTTCAATTGCTCGACTGCATGTCAGCAGTTTCACGAAGCAGCAATCGAAATTTCGAGAGACTTTTCAAGGTTTGCGAGAAGTTAATCGTCATAATGAAGCGTGAGCATTTTTGATTCAATTCATCGTAAATAATCTGATTCGCTCTATAAATGATCGACAGACTTTCAAATCAAACTTTCAACTGGAAAGTTCGCAACAAAGCATTACTCAAGAAAAATTCCGATGAAGCCTGAAATGGTCTCAACAACTGCATATTGCATAGGCGAATCCTGGCAAAAAAAAAGCTGATTTTCTTTAGCGCAGTTTGGAGGATTCTTCAAAACTTTGAGCAAATATTTTTACAGCATGTCATTATGGAATATTGCGATATGAATGATCATGCGATTCGATAGACCGAAATTATTTGCGCGATATCGTTGAGGCACAACAAGCAAATAACGAATGTTCAAAACGCAGAACTGCGTGAAGACCAAATGTGATAGATGGGCAATGAGATTTGAAGCGAAATTGAAAATTGATTAAACAAATGAATAAATAAACTCAAAATTCAAAAGTAAAACATACATTTGATATTATTAACGAAGAAAACGATATCTCCGGTGGCAGTGGTATTGGGGCGATATCTGGAATTCAGCAGAATGAATTAACATTAATATGACTTTTCGTATAAAATGAAATGATTGAGTTACCCGTTCTTATAAGGAATTCAGCAGGAAATGCTCATATCCAAGAGGGCATGAATGCCACCGTAAAATTGCAGTCCCCATTCGATACTTGAGAACTATCAATGTAAGTTTCTCAATATTAATATTATTGTCC